CACGGACAAAATCATGGCACACACACACACACACACACACACACACAGTTCATATCCCTGTAACCACCATTAAAACACCTGACAGAACTAAGAAACAAGGGGTGGGGTGTGTGTGTGCGTGTATGTTTAGGTTGGTGTGGCAGCGTGCCAGCTGTCCCGTGCTCTGGGTCTCAAGGTGTTGGGGACGGCAGGGACGCCGGAGGGACTGAAGCTGGTCCTCAACAACGGAGCTCACCTGGCCTTTAATCACAGGGAAGAGGGCTACACGGACAAAATCATGGTACACACGCACACACACACCCCACCCCTTGTTTCTTAGTTCTGTCAGGTGTTTTAATGGTGGTTACAGGGATATGAACTGTGTGTGTGTGTGTGTGTGTGTGTGTGTGTGTGTGTGTGTGTGTGTGTGTTCTAGGAAGCCACAGAGGGCAGAGGCATCGATGTGATAGTAGAGATGCTGTCAAATGTCAACCTCAGTAAAGACCTCCAGATGTTGGCCTTGGGAGGACGTGTTACGGTCAGTAGGACTGCAGTCCAGTGCTATTTATCAGTCTAAATAGCTTGGTGTGAGCTGTGTCGTAGAGACACCAAAATAATCCAGATTGATGAATAGCACTACAGGTAAGAGGGGAAATTGGTATTTTTGATTTTGGGCTGAACTGTCCCTTTAAGAGTAGCACAAAAATGCAGAGAGATAATGCTTAAGCTAAGAGAAGGGGCGGGGTTGACCCTGTTGCAACGGATTACATCATGTTTTATGAATACTATGTCTACACTGATTGGTTCACAGTAGCAGTGAATGACAAATGAAATATTCATCAGTATACAGGGGCAGCGAGGAACAATCTAGATTACATTTGTTCAAATTTTGACTCTGGAGTCCTCTAGACTTCCTCCAACTTCTCTCGGGGAGCTGAGGAGCTACTTTTAGCGCTGCAATGCCTCGTGAATTACTCTTAGACCAAAAAGTTAGGACTGACACAACCTTTATTTTTCCACCAGTTAGGAGTTACTTTTAGCCAGACGGTGGTTTGTGAGTACGACCCCTAGACTTCTATAGCTCTGTAGCTAGGCCCTATTACCCAGAGTAGAAGCTGTATCCCAGTGTAGCTCGTTCCTGTGCCTTACTTCATACGCGCTTATCTCTCTCCTTCATTGTAGATCATTGGCTGCAGAGGCTCCATAGAGATCGACCCCAGAGACACCATGGCTAAGGAGAGCAGCATCATGGGAGTGACCCTTTCCTTCGCTACATCGGTACGAAGTAGTGGCATCACACAAGTCATCCTGATACAATGTTTAAATAAATGTTCGTATGTTTCCTCCCTCCCTCCCTCCTCTCGCAGGAGGAGAACAAGGAGTGTGCGGCGCTGTTCTACGCGGGGATGGAAGCTGGTTGGCTGCGTCCGGTCGTCGGCTCCCAGTACCCGCTCACCAAGGCCGCCCAGGCCCACCATGATATCATTGAGTGTCCCGGGGCTGCTGGGAAGACAGTCCTGGTCGTGGGATGATGTGATCATAGCACAGGTTTTGGCTGTTAATAATAAGGAAAAAAGTCAAGAACTTAAATAAAATAAATGTATAAAAAAAGAGACATTTTTGGAATCATTTTGTGGTCCTAATAAACAAGATTGGTATTTGGGTAAAAGGAAGTAATAGAAAGGACTAAAGTTAAAAGCTCATATCTGAGAGGAGTTAAACATGACATCTGTGCCTCTCAGGTGACAGCGGTCTCTACTGAGCATGCTCCAGAGAGGGCCAGGTAACTTAAGCTAGACACACACAGTATCTGCTACAGCGCTGTAGCAACCGGTAAATGATGGCGCTCCTAGTTTAAGTCTCCCCTCAGGTCCTCAGATCATTCTTATGGATTAATATGGCAGTGGAGTGCACCATGTCGCCCGCAGGGGGGGGACCTTTGGGTTCTGTTCAACAGGTGAGCAGTTTGTAATGGTTTTTAAATGATCCCGCACTCTGATCAGTATTTCTTTGGTTTAGGTGTATACAGTAGATGTTCAGAAA